GAATGTGCTAGTGGTATGAAAAACACTAAAAAAAGGAAGCTCTAATTTTCGCATATATGTATTCGTTGGTAACTAATAGGACAAAAATAATATGAATGCTTTCTTTTCTCAGATGCAACATCACCGAATGTGACGGACCGCAAAGCCCTTACGAAGAGCCATGGACTAAATATGCCATTCCCGCGAAGACTAGGGAGTTAGATCAATGTCGACGTTATGCGCCCAAAGCAATCACGAATTGGACAAGGTCACCCGGGGATGTACAATATTGCACGGCGGAAAGCTTCGATTCCAAAGTGATGCAGAATTGCCCTGGCAATAATTTTATATTTCGAGGCGAGGAAGTAACGATATCAAATGATGTAAGTCTACGGCAAAATACAATACATACATACATACATACATATGCGCCTAATTAATTATTCAAATTGACACAGTTCGGCATTTATTGCGATGAGGAATGGAAGTTAACCCTGACAGGCACAATTAATAATGTGGGACAATTTTTTGGCATACCGCTCGGTGGATTAATTTCCGATAAGTGAGTATTGTTTGCTCAACATACTCCCATTAATTTTGTAGTCGCATAAGACTTACCACGTTTTACTTAAACACTCCGCAGGTATGGTCGTCGCAATGCGCTCGCACTTGGCGGCGTACTCAGCGCCATATTTGGCATTATGCGCTCTTTTACCACATCCTACGTGCCGTTTCTTGTTTATGAGTTCCTCGACAATGTCGCAAATAGTTCACTCTATTCGATTTGCTTCATCATTGGCATCGAATTGGTGGGTCCTAGCAAGCGTGTATTCGCTTGTAGCGTCATTACAATTTTCTACGCCATCGGTGAAATGCTTCTAGCCATCGTTTCTATGTATTTTCCAAATTGGCGCATTATGCTCCGGATTTTCTACATACCATCGCTAGCCATTGTATCCTACTACTGGATATTGCCAGAGAGCGTACGTTGGCTACTGAGTCAGCAACGTGAAACGGAAGCTTTGGACATATTGAAGCGTGCAGCGCAAACGAATAAGCGTCGACTATCGGATACAACGCTGGATAAGTTGATATTAGCGAATCGTGAGAAGCTAAGTAGTCAAGGTGGCGCACGCTTTCCCATACGCGAGGCGTGCGGAAAACTCTTTTTCCGCATTGCAAATTGTTCGCTATGCTGGGTGGTCACTGTGCTTGTATACTATGGACTGAGCTTGAACTCGGTGCTGTTGGGTGGCAGTAAATATTACAATTTCATACTGATTGCGCTAGTGGAAATTCCTGGTTTCTTCATACCTTGCCTCACTATGGATAGATATGGTAGAAGGTATTCGCTTTGCGGTTATATGCTGCTCAGTGGCATTTGCTGTCTGTGTACAGTCTTTGTGAACTCAGGTAGGAGGATCTGTTAAAAATTTGTATTTAATTTGTTCTTTATGTTACTTGTACATTGTTTGTCCTTTAGAACGCTATTATCTTCAGCTAAGCTTATTTTTGGTGGGTAAACTGGCAATTACTGCTGCCTTCCAAGTTCTTTACTTTTTCACTTCGGAGATATTTCCAACAAATCTGCGCAATAGTTTGATGTCTTTCTGCTCGATGATTGGCCGTTTTGGTTCAATGGTGGCGCCACAGACACCTCTCTTGGTAAGTTTTATATATAACCTCGGCCTAAGTAGAGTGAAAAATATCGCACGAGGGACTTTCAAATTACAAAGCGAAAGATAGTACATAACCTTCTTCAGTTCCTCAATATGCATATCCGCAGCAGGAGGCATTAAGCTTTAAAATAGTATTTCATCCACTACAGACCCTCTGGCATCGACGAGAGATGAGGGGCCTATTGGCATAAACTTTTACTTATCTGACAATCCTTCCCTTTTGAACTCTGGCAGTCTGGCATCGTTGATCCGCTTAACGGATGAGTTCTATTGAGGAAGTCCTAAGCGGTCTATTCACGAAATAGATTGACTTTATCGCATTTAAACCGTTTTGGGCAGCGAGATTACATTCATAAGCTCCAGAGATTGTCCTCTATCTCGATAGGATTTTTAAGCGATAGGGATCTGCGGATTGAAAATGTCTTCAGATGGTGACCTCAAAAGAGAGAAGCGACGTAACTGATCACTGCGTATTTTCGCCTCTGTTTTGGCTTAGTATTATTAAGAAATCTTCCCAAATTCAATAAGGGTGAAGTTAAAGTGGTGGCCGATTGGTAGTGATTTGTCAGCGATAGATTTTTTATGAGAGAAACCGCCTTACGCCTTCCTTGTGGGTCTAACAGTACTGAGATATATGAACTAACTGGATTTACTTGGATTTCTTATCTCCACTGGATGGATCCGACGAAATTAGAGGCTCCCTCATTCCTTTCCATTTCGGTTTCTGATAACTTAAATTCCTGCGGTTTAAAATGGCACGTATTTGATGCTAATTGGTGTGATTTCAAAACCACTTTCCAAGTGCAAATCCATACGATTCTTGACCATTCTGCAGGCTAATTAAAAATAAAGAATTTCCCATCTAAAACTTCCGCTTCATCAGTGAAGATCTAAACAATTCTTCTAGTTACAAATATGTACGCTTAGAATCATTTAGGGCACCGCATAACAAACCCGGGAATTTGAGAAGATCGCAGTCTAAGCCGTTCAAGTATTTTCTCGAACATGGCTAAATTGGACTAATTGTATCTTGAGAAGAGACTTTACTACTCATTTACATCTCCGTTTAATGAGCGAATTATTTTTTAAGTCTTGAAACTTTTGTCCTTCTTTAAACTGTGATCTGTAAGTGGTAATCATAATTTATAACTTATTTTGCTTCTCTTCTCATTTCAGGTTAAATATTATGAAAATGCTCCAGCGATATTGTTTGCGGCCTGTGCTCTAGTCAGTGGTTGCTTATCGCTACTTTTTCCAGAAACTTCAAATACGATTTTGCCAACGACAGTGCATGAAGCAAATAAAATTGGTAGCAAGAAATCGTCCAAGGATCCAAATAGTAGTACATTTAATTTAGAGAATGAGAGTACTTATATGTAAGAAATACCTGTATGAATAACAGAACGAAAACGATACATGTACTTATGTACATATTATTATGTATGCATATTAATATTAAGCCTTGCCATCTTACAAGCAACCAAAAAAAGTTTGCCGTTCACCCCTGAGTGTAAAGTATTTTTCGCTTTTTAACATTTTTCTGTGACAACTAAATACGGCAATAAATTTTTTTTTAAATAGTTCTACTGAAATTATCGAAATAATTCTTTACTTTATTTACGGACATTAGAGTGGTACATTAGGGTGATAAGAACTGAGATTGGGTGGGTAATTAATTACGAATTACTTGAGGACAATGAACTTTATAACACAAAAAATTTCTTCCTCGGGACCGGAACATAGATATATCATACTTTAGGGTCCGATTGTATATGCCGAAGATATGACCAAAAATGCAAAAAGGCGTAAAAAAATCCGAAACTACCTTGCGAAAATACTTTACATTCGAATATGTACGGCGAACTTTTTTTCTGGAATGGTCTAATATATGTACATATATTTATTAGGATGCATCACCAAAAAAAATTGCGGTTTTTCACCGGAATTATAAAATGTATTATATTTTAAGACTACCAACTTTTTCCGTTTCGGAAAAATATTAAGATTCACGTGAGCTAAACCGATTTGAAAATATCTCTAAAAATCTCGTTATTTTGATAAACAATTTTAAGCATTTTTATGCAGATTTTTTAAGCTTACATTCTGAGATGATTTTTTAGAAAGAATAGACTTTTACGTTTGCTAAAAATATAAGCACATAACTTGATAACTAGGCAGGTGTGACTACCCCAAAATAAATTTTATAGTTCCAGTGGGAAACTGTACCCTTTTTTGTGTGCACATAAACATATGTAAGTACATCTGTATGTACATTAGCGTGGCCCGAAAATCCGCTTTTTTAGAATTTTGATCAGTAATAGCAAAAATATGGTTCATTATGCTCTAAAATAAATCTGTATGAAATGTGAAAATTTTTAGTCAATATCCTAGGCTCGCCCATGTCCACCAAAGTTCAAGTACTAAACAAATTTTTTTTCTCTACAAAAAAGGTCCAAATACCAAAGGACTAATACTTTCGAAAATTATTGCAATTTTAGTAAAAAAATGTATTAATTAATTTATTTATTAATTTTTATTTTTTGAGCATATTGAACTTTGATGGACGAGCCTAGAATATTAACCAAAAAATTCCAAAGATTTTTTTTAAAGCATAATGAATCATATTTTTGCTATTACCAATCAAAATTCTAAAAAAGCGGATTTTCGGCCCACGCTAATGTACATACGTACTCACAAGTATGAGGACCTCAAGAAGTTTTTAAGTTGAGTAATATTACTGCTGAAATGCTTTAAAGTATAGACCCGTTCAATCCGATCCCAAATAAGATATTGCTATATGAAATTTCTCTAAATTTTCGAATTAGTACACTTTTAAAAATCGTGCGCATTAGATAGCTTTGTATAGTTAAATTTGGCCTTACAAAACCAGTAGGTTGCTCACACTGGACCTAGTTGGAGAAGAGATAAGTAAATAAGGATTAAATAAAGGCTGTGCCATAGGAACGGAACTATTTTTCGGGAAGTTTAGTATGTATTTCCTCTGTCGGTTAGTAAGAGCCTTTGTTATTAGAAGTAGTATTCGTAGTAATCAGAAGTAAATTTTTGGCTTTAAGCCACTATAAATTACAGTCCAGTTAAAACTAAGACTAAGACAAATATTTTCCTCAGTTCTTGATAGAACGTAAAAATAAGTATTTATTACTTAAAATTAAGAGTCAAATAATTTACATACATTGAGGCGTATTCTTGTTTTCGTACGAATCGAAAATCACGAAATTTTTCTATCGTTTCCGATCAAAAAATTTTAAAAATTCGATTCGTACAGAAACAAGAATACGCATTATCATAAAATTTTATTTATCGTAAATTTTAAATATTGTCTTAGATATATTTAAAATTTATATATTTTTGATTTACTTAGAACCTAAGTACTTCCAAAAATTTATGTATTAAAAATTCAACCGCACATTTAAATAAAATAAAGTATCATATTTAAAACACAGCCATGTTTCCTTCTGACAATCTTTTTCCAATAACTGATCAGTGCAAATTGGCTGAGTTCCATAGTAACTTACTTCGGCAGCATTAGACTGACATATGTATGTAGGTATATTGAGTAGAATAATGAAACTAAAAGGCTAAGAATAAATCGAATGTATATATATGTATTAGGATAAGTCAAGTTCCCCTTATCTGAGCTTTCCTCCGCAGCTCTTTGATTTCGTAGAAAAGAACTGATTACACACCTGAAGAAGCTCTGGCGAGTACAAGTTTTTGGCAAACGGAAACATCAGACCCGGAAAAGCATCATGATGATTATGGTTTCCCAAAAACAGAAGGTGAAGAAGTCGTAAGTTGAGCCAAACTAAGATTTCCTAGAGCAAGAATCCTGGGTGTATAGGAATCCACTAGATAGGCGAAGAGCTAAAATGTTGGTAGATATTTTCTATGATTAGTAATAAGTTCAGCATATAGAAGATTAAGGTACGAGCATGGATGAAACTGCATTGAAAGGACAATAAGTCCCAAAGTAGTTAAAATAATGTAAAAAAAAAACAATTAAGAAACTTTTATTTGACATGTGCGCTAAAAAAAATAAAATAAAATAAGTCAAGGCTTTTCTTAAGGTTACTAGTAAGTGTATAGATTTTCATTAGCGATACGAGGAGACTTTGAAAAGTTTTGAGTCTAAGTATCTGTAAGAGTCATTAAAGTCTTGTTCTGCGTATCACTGATTAAACTGTGCAACAATTTGACGGTCATTGTCGGGGGGCGGAATGATTCCAACTATGGATGAAAGACCACAAGACCCATATAGTAAAACCTAAATTGTTTTTTTTTTTTTGTTACAATTATAATTTCAAATGGAAGAGCCACATTATGGTAGCGCTCGCGCTCGCGTTGTAATCGGCGCATACTTCTAACGGGTTGCATTCGATTCTCTTTTCCATATACTACCAGTTCATTATAAACTCAAACAAGAGCATTTAACGCACCAAATTTTGCAACGTAAAAATAAAACAAATAACGAGTTACACTTCTTTTTGTGAAAATTTTCCAATTTGATTTCGAAACGATATGCATATTAGGCTAGAAAATATGCACGTTGGTACCTTTTTTGAATTCACATAATCTACACAATATACGTAACGTATACGTTTAGGTTAATAACCAGCGAATAGAATATTTTAACCCTCTAGCGACCTTCAAAATGCTATTTTATTCGGACTTTCTAAAAAAAGGACCAAAACGACCCTTTTTTGAGGGAGATGACGGGTTAAATTGTTCTACATAATTATTCCTCGTAAAATTTTACTATATGTCCCGAAACAACATATTTCTCTCTGATATGTATTTTAACTCTTTTTTTTATTTATTCTAAAGACACTTGGCAAAATATTGCAAATTTAAATGGTCATAGCAAAGAAATTTTACTAAAGAATGCAAAACGATTTTCTAGGTTTTGCTATACGGGTCTAGGCCTTTAATGCTGCGTTTGAATTATTGCGCTCCTAAAAATGCTGTTGCACAGTGTTACAGAGTTTTTAGAAACTTTCAAATTCCACCTTGTACTCCAAAAAATTAGGAGTTTAAGTTTTTCACACCAAAAATCTGTCACTAATGTTTACCACAAGCCGCGGAATTGATTCCAATCTAATAAATTATGCACCGACAATGTATTTGTTAACCAAGATATTCATTCACAAATTTGTATGAATTTTGACAGTATTTAAGCGAAGAAACCATTCATACTAAGTATTAGTCACTAAAAATAATTTTTTTCAGTTTTTTCCAGTTTACTTTGAAACGCATGGTACTCGAACGTTTCTTTTCTTTACTACTGTTTAAAGGATGCTTTGTTATTACCAAAGTATCAAATTTATTATCAACTTACAGTCTATTGAAATTTTTACACGAAAATCAGTTTCAATCACCAACTCTCTTCCATCTTATGCGACAGCCAATAGGCCATCTGTGGCCAAAAAAATGAACTAATGCCTTCGTAAAACTCTTGATTTCCAAGGCCTCACGTAAAAGATTTTATACCTACTAATAATGCAGATTTTTGCAAACAGTGCAATACGTGCAGACAAGCATTTGCAGTTGATAACCTCTGGGTGTTATGTTTAACGCTAAGAATAAATACACAATTCCATACACATAGTACATACATATGTATTAGGAATGTTAATCCCGGGATCCCGGCCTTTTCAAGGTCCCAAAAATCTCGCGATTTTCGGTATTTGTAATTCGCACTGATGGAAATAATAGAAACTCCTTCTTTACCAGTGTTGGCTATATTTCTTTTTTCATTTAATAATTAATATTTTTTTATAAATGTCTAACTCATTATACATATAACACCGCGCGATAGTAAATTTTAAACACAAATACATATCAATATATTCGGGAAACCATGGGCCAAATATAGTCAAATTGCGTTATTACTTTTTCACGCTGACGTCAGTAATTCAAAAATGTGTCCCGGAACAGGAAAATTGAATATTCACCACAAACAGTTGGGAAAAGAAACTATAACTTTAAGGTCAAAAAGCAAATTCATTCGCTCGCTATCCATATAAATACATAAACGGTCGTCCAACCGCAAATAAAGTGTGAACATCGCAACATAAAGTTCAAGTAAATTGTAAATTTAAATATTTTTCACTCTTTTTATTCACGCGAAAGCGAACGGGTATCAAATTAAAGAGGAAATCCTGTAGAATTTAAGCAGATGCAATTTTTTGGTGCAGAAGGACTGGTAAGTATTGAAAATTTCTTTTTAAAATTTTATCCTTGAAATTTCGCAATATTTGTTTTTGAAATAATTATAAGCTAAAAACTTATAAAAATTCGATAACATCCTCGAATTTCATCCATCTAATTTTATCAGCTTAAAAATTACTTATTCGTCCTTGTGAATCCAAAAAATTTAATTTTTTTATTCTAAAAAATTTCCTCTGCATTTAATTTTGTAAATAATTTTTGGAATTACATAATCATATCTTTGAAATCACAAAGTCCTTTAAAATAAATCCTGACGTCAGAGAGAAAAAACAAAAATGCCCCTTTAATTAAAAAAGTAGACTTCAAACCCATTTATTTTATGGTAGGAGAGCTTCTCAATACAACAATATAGAAGCAATTTTTTTCGATTTAAGTTGCTGAAAAGTAATGAATATCTAAATGCCGGGACTAATCCCGGGATCCTGGGATTATGATAACGACTTCCCGAAAATCCCGGGATGGGAAAAAGCCGAAAAATTAACATCCCTAATACATACATAATTTCGGATAATTGAATGCACACACCAGTTCACCAGACTTTTAATTCTGAATTCATTGTTTTGCATATTTAATATTTAATTTTTGTTAGACTAAATTGCATTTTTAGCAAAAACAAAGAATTTTTGCGAGATAAGCAATGTGCATTATGAAAGACTATTGAAATCTATTTGTACTTGTTTATACTATGTGCGTATATATTTTTGCAGGAAATCTTGACGCCATGAATATGCGCTCGGACGTCGATTTGTTTAAGTACAAAATATGTATGGAAGTCGGAGCTTCAACGAAATAGGAATTTATATACATACATACATATGTACATTAGTATCACTTAGCTAATTTTCAACGGTAGATCATGTGATGGCAACCCGGAAGAAACACAAAAAACTTTTTCTTTAAATTATACAAAATTATTTTTTTCGAAATATACTTTTAAAGAGAATTAAGCTTTTTTATCACCTTTCATAACATACTAATATTGTGATATCTTACTTAAATTGCATATTCAACACATTTTAATTTTTAGATAGTGGCAATCCTATTTCATTAGAGATATACAAGTTGTAACTTACATACAGTGACTCAAACAAATGACCGCATTTTGATTTTTTAAATATTCGTAAAGTTTCATTTGTTATTTTTCTATAAAAAGACCGCCCAAGCTTTAACCAAAACCATATAAATCACAGTTTCAAACTTTATACAAAATTTAGGAAAATTCAACAAATTTTTATCAAAATTTCAACTTTTTAACCTGAATCTTTAAAACATTTTTGGGTATACAGTTTTATAGACCATACAGTTTTAGTTTAATGAAACGCATGTTTCAATCGGCTTTAAAATCGTATTTTTTAAATATTTTTTGGAAAAAATCACCTCATATGACAAGACAGTTTAGAAATTTGCGTAAAAATATTTTGAAAAAAATTTCAACCCAATCATAATGTGATTTTTGATGCTGTTTTTTAACTTTTTTTAAAGATTGGTTTACGAAAAACTTGAATAACTCAGCCAACACTTTACCCATTTTGCCATGTGAAAGGTATTTTCTCACGCTTTTTATTTCTTTGCAAATAAATTCATTCGCGTCAGATTTTTTTTTTGTTTTTGCAAACATCCACATGTCTTATTTCAACTTGGAATGCCGCACCTTCATCTTACTTTTCTCTGTCATACTTTGAATGTGTTGATTTGCATTAAAATAAAAAAGGGGTGGAAAATACTTTTCCAATGATACCTCATAAGTCTACATCGGTATTGTTTTGGCTGAGTTATTCAAGTTTATCTTAAATCTATCTTTGAAAAATTATAAAAAAAACCGCATCAAAAATCTCATTATTATGATTCCGTTGAACAAAAAATTATTTTCTATGCAGATTTTTTAAGTTTAAACTGTTTAGTCAGCTGAGGCGATTTTTTCACTTTTAGAATTTATTTTTAAGCTTAGAATCCAAATCTCAAGAAAAAATAACAAGACAATTTTTTAATTATTTCTGTTGCTTGAAAAAGCACTTTGCTGTTGCTGTAAATTTTCTTGAAGAAATACATATATATGTAAATATACCTACGAGCAAGGCATATCAAAAAAGTAGTAGCATTAGAGCAAAAACAACATTTGCGTGTATTTTGTTGTTGCTTCTGGTATCGAAAGTGTCAAAAACTCATGACATGTTTCTTCTAAATCAAAGCGTGCCATGTGAAATACAAAACAAAAAAATAAGAAATAAAAAATTTAAATTGGAAAATGAAAATTGTTGCAACTTTCTTTCTTAGCAAATTTTCTTACTACTCGAAGCATGGATCCATCTTTTGCAAGGCCCAGAAATTAGCGGTTGTGCTGCTGAGTTAGCTGAGCGTTCCAAAAGCTGCTATTCAATCGCTTGTTTTGTATAGAAAAAGGTTTCACATGCAAATAGATTTTAACAACTAGGAATTTTTGTGAGAAGAAATTAAGAATATTTGACATTTTCGCGACCAAATAATTAAAAAAAAATCAGACCAGCTTCTCTACTGATACTACCTGTTTAATGTGCCTTGCCTACGAGCATTTTTTGCTTGAGAAAGAAAAGAGGAAGAAAATTTCTTTTCCATTTCTTGTGCGTAATTTTTATGAATTTTTCGTTTTTCTTGATAGCTTGGTCAAGTCAGGCATTCAAGGTTACAATAACTCGCATAAAACTGAAAATTGGTACAAGTATTACAAACACATTATGAATGAAAAGTCAAAAGTTCCACGCCTGCAAAAAAAAATGTATTCAAGGTCAAAGGTCATATAAATAGTTTTTTTTTTATAATTTTTCAGCCCAAAAAATAATACTCATATTCGCCTAGTACCATCAGCTCACCTTGAAAGAGGATACAATAGTTAGGAATACGAAAACTGAAGCCAGCTTAGAATATGAATACACCACTACCAGCTCACCATCGAGCTTGGAGCTATCTATTACCACGTTTATATGATGCTTCTCTTCGTTCTAAGTCAAACCATGTTACATGGACACACAGATGTAAACACATTCTCTAATCGAATTGAAACTTTTAACCGTGCCACCATAAATCACATTTTGAATGCGAGTTAAGAGTTGTTGAATCGTTTTAAGAGTGCATATAAACACGGAATTTGTCCACACGGTTATTTCATGCAACTCTGTATAAAGTAAACCATTTAAATAGTTCTTGAAATTACGTTTATGCTAAGCTTTGTTTAAAATTAATAGCTAAGATAATTTTTACAAGGCTGTTTGAGTCTTTAATTATTATTTTTTAATTTTCATTATTCATCATTCATGTATTAACAGGGTTGCATCGGGATAAACTCTGTTTGAAAGTGTGTTCGATCGACTAATTTCTTGTGTTGCATATAAACACTTGCATTTCGAACGAGCTACGCTGACACGAGTTAATTCGATACCGCGTTTTATGCCATATAAACAAGGTATATGTATACCTGTATAGACGCACCCCTTTATACATCGTCTCATTTCCACATTTTGAGGGTAGATTAGCTTAGGTTAGAGTGGCTGTCACTGTGTAAGAGCAGAATATATGGTGATAGGCCGTTTTGCAGGGCTGGAGGCTATTTTTCGTTTAGATTGGAACCATCTCTATGTATATATGTACATATATACGTACTATGTACATATAGCTGTCGATCCTGACTCTAGGTTTGTGACACGTGCTCTTTCATTCCTGTCTGGGATTCTTATGGAGAATTCGTTGTCTAGACAGGGTAGAGGGATGGTATAATCTAGTTGTCGTAGATTATTGGGCAGAGTTTTCAGGAAATTTTGTGTTTCCGAAACTTAGATCTATCCACAACTGGATCGCATTTAACCTGGCAGCAATACAGCCGGCCAGAAATTTCCCTTAAAGATCCACGGGTGCATAGTGGTTCAAAACTTGCATTTAATGTTCATAGTTCACTGGAGCCTTCATTTTTCGCTCAATTTGATTAATTTTTTTGAAGTGAAACTTTTTTAGCGGCGGTTGGTTGATTGGGAGTAAATTGGCAATTCAACGGAAATTGCACACGGAAGCGGTTCAACGGAAATGGTTGGGATAGAAATAAGTGCTTCTTGAATGTACATATGCGATTAATTTAACAAAAACTTGCTAATAAAACTTGCCAATACAAGCATGACAGTAAAGGTGGGTAAAGATAAAGGCAAAAATGAAGACCAAGGTAAATTTAAACACTTTGCTTATCTAAGAGCAAAGGTGAAGGAGAATTTGTGGATGAAGCAAATGATAAACATAAAAGTAAAAGCAAAGATAAATATAAAGAAAAAGATGAGGATATGGATGCCGATAAAAGTAAAGAGGAAGATACAGGA